ATTCAAGGTTGAGTAATAGCCAAAAAAATAGGGGCGGGGGAAAAGGACTTATGAAACCTAACCACTGCTTAGCAAAAAGACAAAAGCAAAATCTTTCCACAGAGTTGAACATAACTCACGTTAAAATTAAGATCCAACATAGTGTCTTTGCCCAAATGATAATGAAGTGTAACAAATCCATAACAAAAGGCTAAAAAAAAATCTACTGAGCCCGCACCTAGCTTTGCTAATGATACACAAGGCTATTGCCCAACCCCCCAATTATACAACATGTTGAAAAACATATTTAAATGTGTCTAGATGTTGGATAGTTTTTTTTATATTTTTTTCCTAGTTTTTTTTTCCCATTGCTGTGACAAAACACTCTGACCACTACCAACTTGGAGAGGAAAGGGTTTATTTATCTTACATATCCCAGGTTGCAGTTCATCCAGGAGCCCAGGGTAGGAACTCAGGGCAGGAACCTGGAGGCAGGAGCTGGAGCACAGGCCATGGAGGAACGCTGCTTACTGGCTTGCTCCCCTGGCCCCTGCTCAGCCCTCTTTCTTATGCAACACAGGCCCACCTGCCTAGGGGTGGCACTACTCACAGTGGGCTTGGCCCTCCCACATCACACAATCAAGAAGAAGCCTCACAGACATGGCCACAAAGCTAGTTCAATGGGGCAATTCCCCAACTGAGGCTCCCTCAACCCAGGCATGTCAAGTTGACACTAAAGCTATCCAGCACACCCCCTAAGGTATAGTATAAATCCCTTTTCCTGAAGTTCAAAATAATGTAGGTTAACTTAGAGTATTGAAAGAGAAAGAAGGAAATTCTCTGTTAGAAATAACTGCAGTAAATGATGTTGAAATCTGCTCTTTCCTTTGCAGTACAGTCCAGTTTTGCTTTTTGATGTGTGAGGACACAGCATGTGCTTCTAACATGTTGTTCCCTTAGAAGCATAAAAAGTACAGTTGGTAGGAGAAGTAGAAAAAAACCCTAATAGACAACTATGTGATCATGCTGAGTTTTTACTTTATTGATAGGGCAAAATCTTCTGGAAGCCACCTTTATCTTGTCAAGAAAATGTCTCTTTACTTTTTGAGGAAAAATACAACCTCCCTAGAAAACAGTGAATGACAGAGGAGGAGAAATTTTCCTTCATGGTATAGCCACTAGCAGGCCGCCCATACTCCTGTAAGTAATGCCTCACCTACACTCCTGTAAGTAACCCCAGTGAAACTCAATGGTTCATGAAGAAAGAGGACGACGACAGGGAGGAGAGAAAGCAGAAGGGAGACTAGTTGGAAAAGGAAAATAATTAGTGCCATGGGAGGGGGACAAGAGAGGATAACGGAAAGGTGTACGATCAAAGTGCATTACATACATGTATAAAAATGTTATAATGAAACTAGTCATGGACAATTAATGTATAGTAATAAAAGTGTTAAAAATGAAAAAAGAGAAAAACAGTGAGCAATCATAGAACCAAGTAATAACAATCACTGCCCTGGAGACACTTCAGGTCCTTGTTTCCTGAAGACACTACTATTACAGTTCGGCTCCCATAATAACCAAGTAATTAATGTCTCGAATGCCTCATCTCTCCTCTGTTAAGTTAATTTATTCAGGACAGAGACCATTTCTGCCTTTCACTACATGGGAAGACTCTGACTCCCTCTCCACTCCCATTTCCATTAAGAAAGTACAGCAAAGTTGTCAGGACCTAAAAAGTTGTCGTTTTCCATAAGAAGTCTGTCACTGGCTGGTTCCTGCTGACTGTAAGCCTGTCTCCATTAGCATCTCTTGGAGAGGATGTTATGATCAGGCACAGTTGAAACTCTACGCAGACAGGCATTTCCTCATTAGAAGTTGCTTTGTAAGATTTTGCTAAGGAGCTCCATGTCATCTTTAATAGAAGAGGTAATACGTTGCCTTTACAATTCAGCGGGGCTGGAGAGCATGGTGTCTGCCTGAATTCTATCAGATGGAATTCAATAAAAGCTCCCATTGACTTGGTAACATGAAAATAAGTGCAAACACTTGCAAAATGAATGCTTCCTGTCACGAAGCAAGTTTCTGGCTGATTTAGGAACAGCAGAGCTTTCAGTGGGATTTAAGGTGTTTACACTGTCACTATTTCCACAGTCATTAGGTGCCTCTGCTCTGTATGGAATGGTAAAGAAAAGTTTTAAAGCAAGAAGTAGGGATTTATCCACGTGAACACTTGCTGGAGATGTTTGCATCACCCCAATATGACCCTAGAAGAAAATGTCCTACTGTGGCCAATGATCCTCCCCTTAGAAAAAATGGAAAAATGTGGAATATTAAACAGGAAAAACTTTGCTTCATTTCTCCTGAGCTAAGGATGCAGATCATTTAAGTATCTCACGGAATTAGATATGCATGTCCATCTTTCACGGACATTTAAGTATCTCATGGAATTAGATATGCATGTCCATCTTTCACAGACATTGCACTTTATAAAAATAAACCCTGTCCTTACTGTCCTTTATTCTCTTCCCTTTTCTGGTCTGGCAGAGCATCATCAGACCATAAATGACTTTTTATGGGGTCTAAAACTACAGTGCTGATCTAAAAAGACACCACAAATGCTGCCTGGGTAGCTGACAAACTGTTTCTCCATCCACATGGTTTCAAGATGAGTTAATAGTAGAGAAAAATGCTACCTGTCATACAAAATATGCATGAGGCCTGACTTCCAGTTCTAACATAGCATAACCTGGAGGTGGTGATGCATAACTCTGATCCCAGCACTCAGGAGGCAGAGGCAGGAGGATCAGAAATCTAAGGTCATCATCAGCTATCTATATAGCAAATTCAAGGCCAGCCTGGGCTTCCTAAGGTGCTGTCTCAAAAACAAAAAGCAAAACTTTCCCTAACTTTTACTGTGGAAGGACAGGTACCTATTTTAAAGAAGAGCTTAAATAATACATTAAGAAAAACAGTGGGTTACTCTTTTAAAAAATCATTTCCTAATGATTCTATATAAATGGTATTTTAAGTTAGTGCTGTAAAAGAAATCAACCAGTAAAATCTTCTCCTAGAAAACCATAAATGAATACAAAAATACTAATAATAATTCAGCATGCATTATCGTGAAAACTGAGTATTTTCCTATGGTCTTCTCTACAACCACATAAAGCAAGCTGGGTGTGGTGGTGCAGGCCTGTAATCCAAACTACTCGAGAAGCTGAGGAAGGAGGAGCTCAAGTTCAAGGTCTCCCTGAGTACATTCTAAAGTCAAGGCGGGCCTGGGTATTTTAGTGAGCCTTTGTCTCAAAATAAATTTGGGGTGGGGGGGGGGGGACTGGCTGGGGGGCCCTGCATGTTAGAGAGCCGCAGGGTGCAAAAATTC